CGGTCGATAGGTGAGATTTTGATCCGAGGGTTGGAATGGAATTCCGAGAGTTACTGTAGCTTCGTTATGTGATTTGGGATGTGTGTGTAAAATTTCAGGTCATACGGAGTTGATTTGGGTAGGTTTTTGATCGAATGCAAGTTTCGGAAGATTTGGATGAACTTAGGCTTGAATTTGATGTAAATTGATGGCTTAGGTGTTATTTGTGGTGTTTTGATGATTCGTGAAAGTTTGAATAAGGTGTTGGATCATGTTTGTGTTTTTGGTTGAGGTCCCGGGGGCCTCGGGGTGATTTCGGATGGCTAACAGGAAGTTTTAGCTTGTAAAACTTAAGAATTTGCTGCTGCTTCTGGTATTTTCGCTCCTGCGGAAATGGGACCGTAGAAGCGGTACCGCAGGAGCGGGTGGAGAGTCGCAGAAGCAGGGAGAACCGCAGGTGCAGATTGGGTGACCGCATCTGCGGAGTCGCAGGTGCGACAGCATGACCGCAGATGCGGGTTTTGGAGACTTAATGAGATCCGCAAATGCGGAGCTTAGTCCGCAGAAGCGGAAGCCGCAGGTGCGTATTTCAGACCGCAGAAGCGGAAATATCCGCAGAAGCGGTACAATCACCGCAGAAGTAGAAATCGCAGATGCGGCTAAGGAGCCGCAGATGCGGAAATAACTGGTCAGTGAAGTTTTATTTCATCTTCGCGAAATTTCATAAGGGTTCATAATTTTCACTTCGAACTTGGAGAATTTGGGCGAGTTGGAAGAGAGAAATCAAGGGACTTCATTGAGGTAAGAATTTCTGAGTCTAAAATACGATTTTATGGTACAAATACATGAATTAAGACTGAAAAATTAAGGAATCAAAGGTCAAAAATGGTGATTAGGGTTTGAAACTTAAGAGAGTTAAAAATGGGGATTTGAGGGGTCATTTGGACTCCGATTTTGGTGTTCTTTATATGTATAGACTCGTGGCGAGATAAGGAATCCGTTGATGGTAAATTTTCTGATATTCGAGAAGTGGGCCCGAGCTCGGGTTTTTGCTAATTTTGAGATTTTAGCTATTTTTCGATTGTTTTCGATTGGGTATTGTCCCATTGGCATATTGTGATGTATTCGTTGTGGTTTTGATCAGATTCGGTACACGAGGAGGTCAATTCGAAAGGCAAGGGCATAGCGAGCTAGGACTTTGGCCGGCTTGAGGTGAGTAATAGATGTAAATGCTGTTCTGAGGGTTTGAAACCCCGTGTTTGCACATCGTAGTGCTAT